AAGATGTAATAAAGAATTGGGTAAATAAAAATTCGGAATAAGAAGTTTAAATAAAGTATGTATAATTATAACTAAATGTAAGTATGGAATAAGGAATTCTCCTCCCGGTCGAGATAGAATTCCTTTTCCAAAAACCACGAATTGCAAAAGAACCCCCCCAGATAACAGGTTTCAGCAGACTCATCAACTCGGAGGAAAAGACAGGACACAGGCCATCACAGAAACAAAAGAACCAGCCTAAAAGTCTACCTCCAGAGAAAGGCAACGCCCGGCCGATTTCGGCCGGAGACCATCAAGCAAGACAAAAGGGACGAGCCCCAGGAAGATGGTCGTTGCCAGAACCGAACACCACACCTGCCAAACCCATACTACAGAAACTCAATCAAGAAAGACAAAGAAGAGACTACTCCTCTGAGATATCCATCGGCACCAGCCCGGATCTCTCAATCCTGCTGTGATGAAATATGTTAAAATACATACAGACTCACTTTACATTTGAGGAGACTCTGCCCGGATACTTACTGACTCAATGTTCTAGGCCAGGAAATCCATTCACCCGACAATCAGGGACATTTGGTGAATGGAAACTGGTTGGAATTCTAGCCTGGGGACATAAAATCCCTATAAAAACCCAGGCCAGAGGACCCTCAGACGTGGATTTGGGAACACCTATACCTTGCGTATAGACCCTGTCCACCCAGCGCTGCGCTGTCCATTTATTGTGGTTTTTTCTCCTCACTGTTTGTTGCTTTATTAATTTATAATAAATTAATCTTTGTTAATCTTTAATTTGCCTCTGCATTTATAACAGATTGGTGCCGTGACTCGGATCGGAAGAAACTGTGGGAGAATCTCGCTGTCCAGGGGGGTACCCCCGCTGAGTTCAGCGGCCTGGGGAGCAGAGACCCTCCGCAGTTCGCTCCGATTGCCGAACCAAATTTAGGCTGAGGAAAAACCATAATAAAGAGGAACGGATCCAGAGAGCTCGGGAAGGCAGGAGCCTTCGGGAAAGCCGCGGCTTGGTAGCTCATAAAAAGTCATACGTGCACGAAGACGCCCTCGCAGGAAAATTGCTGTAAGTACTGTGAGGTTGAGCGGGTGATCGGGCGAGTTTGTGAGAGACGTGACCTGGTCACGAAGCGAGTGTGGACTTCAAGGCCGCGTTTCCATCCTCCCGCGAGGGAATTGGCCGGCCGCGAAGGAAGCGATTCTGTGTGAAAGTGTCTCTCTTTCCTTACTCGTAAAGCCTGAGGCTAAAGGGAGTCTCAGGGGACCGATCAAAGGGGGCTGAGAGAGGAAGGGACGTCCAGTCGAGCTCTGGAACTGGTAAACTCTCTCAGCCAAAAGATTTAGAAAGTCGGAACACTGAGAAAACCCCGGTACAGCTAACCGAGAGGTAAGTATTGGTGCGATCTAGGACTTTCAGACGAAGAAAAAGACGAACACAACGCAGAGCAGGTAAGAATCGTAAGAAAATGGGACAGAGAAAAAGTAAAACGCAGAAACTAGATAACGAGAAAAGCGCATCAGAGGAATCAAAGCAAATGCTAGACATCCCACCAGAGAGTCCTTTAGGGTGGATGTTGAGAAATTGGGAAATTTGTCCCGAGAGACGAGAAAAATCAAAGGCAAAAATGATTTATTACTGTGCCGAGATCTGGGGAGGACAAGAACTGAGAAAATGTCTCACTTGGCCAGTATTGGGAACATTTGATAAATGGACGTGCAGGGAATTACTCGCACACGTAGAGAAAAAGGTCTCGCCAGACGGCGAGGAGAAAGAGTATGCCAAACTCTGGTTAAATACCAAAGTACGACTGTTTCCAGTGAAACAGAAAAACGAACATAAGACAGAGACCTGGGAACCCCTGGATCACTTACCCCCTCCGTACCGCGGGCCAGTAGAGCCTCCGGTGATGGATCAAGTAGTACCATCAGCACCCGAGGGTTCCATGGGGCAACTAGCAGAAGCACGCTCCCCTCAACCACCGGGAGTAGTGCCAGAAACCCTCACTACCCCCCCACCTGCAGAAAACCCAGCCACCGCACCCTCTTTGGAGTCGGTGTTGGCGCAAGGATGGGGCTTACCCCCTCCACAAATCCCGGTCCGGCCACCACAGCTGGGACCACCGAAAGTATCAGAAGGGAACCCTCTGAGTCACTTAGCTGCGGCAGACATTCCGCCAGCAATGAGGGGAAAACCTCCCGCAAACTCCAGTTCCCCTCCTGCAAGCAGGACTCGGTGGAAATCAAAAATAGGGAATGGAGAATGGGGAGAGACAGAAAATGGGCATCGAATGTTCCCTCTCAGGGAAGTGCCAACCGCCCCCGGAGTAATTGGATTTGTAAACGTGCCCCTTAACTCAGGGGATGTACGAGCATTCAAAAAAGAAATGGGGCAACTGCTAGATGACCCATTTGGAGTGGCCGAAAGATTAGACGATTTTCTAGGAAGTAGTATTTACACCTACGAAGATCTCATGGCCATCCTGAGATCCCTGTTTAGCCAAGAGGAGAGAGAAATGATTAAGCAGGCGGGCATCAGGGATTGGGAAAGGCGGCACCCGCAGGGAACACCCGGTGACCAAAAGTGGCCGAGCGTAAGCCCGAGTTGGAGCGCCCAGACCGAAGAAGGGAGAAGGAGCATGATGGATTTGAGGAATATCATCGTGCAAGGAATAAGAGAGGCGGTCCCCAGAGGACAGAACATTAGCAAAGTATTTGGGGAATGTCAAGGAAAGGAAGAATCCCCTACTGAATGGTTAGAAAGGTTGCGGAGAAGTCTGCAGATTTACTCCGGGACTGATCCCAGTTCTCCGGTGGGGGAGGTCCTGCTGAAAACGCAGTTTGTGGCTAAATCATGGGAGGACATTAGGAAGAAACTTGAGAAAATTGATGGATGGCAGGAGAAGAGTCTCCAAGAGCTTCTAAGGGAAGCTCAAAAGGTTTATATGAGGAGAGAAGACGAAAAACAGAAACTTCAAGCCAAAATATTAGTGGCTGCAGTAAAAGAAGTTCAAAAACAAGAACAGAAACAGGGTAAACCGATACCTAAGAAACAAAAGGGATCTCAGAAGGAGGAAACTCCTCCTCGAAAGGATCCTCCAGAGTGTTTCTACTGTAAGAAAGTAGGACACATAAAAAGGGATTGCAGGAAACGGATGAAAGATGAACAAATATTTAAAGAAGATTAGGGAAGTCTTGGGCTCTTTCAAATGGGGACAGTAACAGCAAAAGAGCCCTTGATAAAATTGAAGGTAGGTCCCCACCGCCAGGAAATGAGCTTCCTGGTTGATACCGGGGCTGAGAGAAGCACCCTGCAGAAGTTGCCTATAGGGTGTGAAACGAGTAAAGAAAAAGTAATTGTAATTGGCGCAAAAGGAGATCCATTTAAAGTCTCGGTAATCAAGGAGGTGGAAATCAAAAATAGGGAATGGAGAATGGGGAGAGACAGAAAGTGGGCACCGAATGTTCCCTCTCAGGGAAGTGCCAACCGCCCCCGGAGTAATTGGATTTGTAAACGTGCCCCTTAACTCAGGGGATGTACGAGCATTCAAGAAAGAAATGGGGCGACTGCTAGATGACCCATTTGGAGTGGCCGAAAGATTAGACGATTTTCTAGGGAGTAGTATTTACACCTACGAAGATCTCATGGCCATCCTGAGATCCCTGTTTAGCCAAGAGGAGAGAGAGATGATTAAACAGGCGGGCATCAGGGATTGGGAAAGGCGGCACCCGCAGGGAACACCCGGTGACCAAAAGTGGCCGAGCGTAAGCCCGAGTTGGAGCGCCCAGACCGAAGAAGGGAGAAGAAGCATGATGGATTTGAGGAATATCATCGTGCAGGGAATAAGAGAGGCGGTCCCCAGGGGACAGAACATTAGCAAAGTATTTGGGGAATGTCAAGGAAAGGAAGAATCCCCTACCGAATGGTTAGAAAGGTTGCGGAGAAGTCTGCAGATTTACTCCGGGACTGATCCCAGTTCCCCGGTGGGGGAGGTCCTGCTTAAAACGCAGTTTGTGGCTAAATCATGGGAGGACATTAGGAAGAAACTTGAGAAAATTGATGGATGGCAGGAGAAGAGTCTCCAAGAGCTTCTAAGGGAAGCTCAGAAGGTTTATATGAGGAGAGAAGACGAAAAACAGAAACTTCAAGCCAAAATATTAGTGGCTGCAGTAAAAGAAGTTTAAAAACAAGAACAGAAACAGGGTAAACCGATACCTAAGAAACAAAAGGGATCTCAGAAGGAGGAAACTCCTCCTCGAAAGGATTCTCCAGAGTGTTTCTACTGTAAGAAAGTAGGACACATAAAAAGGGATTGCAGGAAACGAATAAAAGATGAACAAATATTTAAAGAAGATTAGGGAAGTCTTGGGCTCTTTCAAATGGGGACAGTAACAGCAAAAGAGCCCTTGATAAAATTGAAGGTAGGTCCCCACCGCCAGGAAGTGAGTTTCCTGGTTGATACCGGGGCTGAGAGAAGCACCCTGCAGAAATTACCTATAGGGTGTGAAACGAGTAAAGAAAAAGTAATTGTAATTGGGCAAGGGGCATGGTGGAAAAAGCTAGTATTCTTTATAGGATGTTCAATTGCCGGAGTCATCTTCTTACCCTGCCTAATTCCTTGTCTGATCAGACTGATACATTCTGTCGTTCAAGGAATGCAGATTGCCTCTCTCCCAATAGACCCAGAAAAGGCACAAGGAAACGCTACCCTTCTTTCAAAAATCATGAAGTTAGAGGAAGAAAAAGAGAGTAGAAATGCGGTTAAAGCATTGAGAGAATTTGAAAACAAACATATGTTGTCCCCAGAAAATATAGAAGAGTCAGACATAGAGGAAAGCGGCATTATCTAAACCGGTATTCCTCTGAAAAAGTATGCAAACACGAATTTTTAATGTGGTCAAATTATTAGGTGGGGGACTGTAATAAAGAATTGGGTGAATAAAAATTCGGAAGAAAAGGTTTAAATAAAGTATGTGTAATTATAACTAATGAAAATATGGAATAAGGAATTCTCCTCCAGGTCGAGGTAGAATTCCTTTTCCAAAGTCACGGATTGCAAAAGAACCCCCCCAGATAACAAACCTCAGCAGGCTCATCAACTCGGAGGAAAGGACAGGACAAAGACCATCATAGAAACAAAAGAACTAGCCTGAAAGTCTACCTCCGGACCAAGACAACGCCCGGCCGATTTCGGCCGGAGACCATCAAGCAAGACAAAAGGGACGAGCCTCAGGAAAATGGTCGTTGCCTGAATTGAACACCACACCCGCCAAACCTATGCTAAAGTAACTCAATCAAGAAGGACAAAGAAGAGACTACTCCTCTGAGATATCCATCGGCACTAGCCCGGATCCCTCGACTCTGCTGTGATGAAATATGTTAAAATACATACAGACTCACTTTGCATTTGAGGAGACTCTGCCCGGACACTTACTGACTCAATGTTCTAGGCCAGGAAATCCATTCACCCGACAATCAGGGACACTTGGTGAATGGAAACTGGTTGGAATTCTAGCCTGGGGACATAAAATCCCTATAAAAACCCAGGCCAAAGAACCCTCAGTGTGGATTTGGGAACACCTATACCTTGCGTATAGACCCTGTCCACCCAGTGCTGCGCTGTCCATTTATTGTGGTTTTTCCTCGCTGTTTTGCTGTTTTGTTAATTTATAATAAATTTATCTTTTTTATCTTTAATCTGCCGTTGCATTTATAACACAGGTGT